TGCCCCTCTCCTCTTTCTTTGTGCAGCCAAGCGAATCTGCTGGAGACTTCCACTGAGTGAGTGACAGACTATGACTCGTCTATATGTTGCACTCAAAACTATAAAACTGGAAGAGCTAATGCTCTTGAGCACTTGTCCGTCGTCCTGTGAAAGCTTCAATGGCGCCATTAGCAAATTATTTACAACATGTGCATCATGTTTTTGGCCTGGGATTGGTATTTGTACTGGGACTGGGACTGTGACTGGGGCAGACACCGTGCATCGACAGTGGCACTGGCGCTGCTACTGGGACAATGACAAGAGCCGGAAACGCTGCACAGTGTCAGAAGCTAAGCAGAAAATAATGTATAAAATAAAGTAATATATGATACATGACATATGATATATGATATATGATATATGATATATGATATATGATATATGATATATGATATATGATATATGATATATGATATATGATATATGATATATGATATATGATATATGATATATGATATATGATATATGATATATGATATATGATATATGATATATGATATATGATATATGATATATGATATATGATATATGCTATATGATATATGATATATGATATATGATATATGATATATGATATATGATATATGATATATGATATATGATATATGATATATGATATATGATATATGATATATGATATCTGCTCTCTGCCTCTCTGCTTCTATCTCTACTAGCATCTCTGCTCTCTGCTCTCATGCTCTCTGCTCTCTTGCTCTATTGCTTCTCTGCCTCTCTGCTCTCTGCCTCTCTGCTCTCTGCTATCTGCTCTCTGCTCTCTGCTCTCCTGCTCTCTGCTCTCTGCTCTACTGCCTCTGCTGCTCCTGCTCTCTGCTCTCTGCTCTCTGCTCTCTGCTCTCTGCTCTCTGATCTCTGCTCTCTGCTCTCTGCCCTCTGCCCTCTGCCTTTCGCCTGCCCCTCTCCCCCTCTCTTCTGCTTTTTTCATATATGTTTGCTGCACATCGAGCCAGTGTGCAGTTGGCATTGCCAGTGGAGCATGGGCATGGCAGGCATGGGATCGAATGCAGGAACAAGTGCTCGAGACTCCATTGGCAGCAGCTGTTCGATGAGGGCCTGTGGCCCACTGTGGGCGGGGCAGCGGGTAGTGGGTAGCTATGCGATGCTTGTATGTGTTTTTACTGCTCTGGTTGCTTGTTGCTTGTTGCTTTTACACGTTTGATTTCCACTGCTAAATGCCAAACAAACTGTCACGGGGAGACAAGCTGAGTGCCCACTCATACCCATGCAGCCATTTAACAGCACACCCACACACACAGCAGTAGTGAAGGGGAGACAGAGTGTGCGACAATGAGGCATCCCAGGACGAGAATCGAACACACATACAACAAGTGAAATAATAATTTCAACATTGAATTGAATTTTGAGTGCCAGAACTGACTGCATGCCAATGCGTGCAAAATGAACTGACGGGCGGCTCCGGGTGACAAGGACATTGAACGTGGTTCAGCCAAAAAGGACCACCCCTACATACATCGATGGGCTGGCATAGACAAGAGCATGAGCCAACTGAATGCAGTTCAAATGGCATTGCAATATGACATTGCGACAGGCACGAAGCCTGACTGGGTCTGTGTCTGGTTCTGGGTTCAATTCTGGGCTTCTGCATAACATTGGCTGCATTTTAGTTTTATAAGCGATTTGCCGCCGTCTTTCTGCGACTGTTTGCCGAAGCGTAACACAAATAGAAATTGGCATAAAAGCGCAAACAGAGACAGAGACAGAGAGAGAGAGAGAGAGAGAGAGAGAGCGGGCGAGAGGGATTGAATAGCACATTCCCGAAGATAGAAATACTACCAATGGGAACAACAACGACAAAAGTAATCAAATGTTGGCCACATTTCAGCATATTTTTCTTTGGCTGCACTCGGAGTGCGCCCATATTGACATTGGGTAGAAAATGTCCAGCATTTGAATGCTCGCATGGCAAACGTTTTTCGTCGATTTTCCAGGCTTATGAATAGAATTTTTACTCAACAAGATCTAACTGTGCACGAGACACAGCACAAAGTGTGCTCAATGCTCAATCAGTGAATCAGTTTGGGGAAATTTCTCTATCCGTCAATCAGTGAGTCACGCAGTTAATCAACCATTCTGAGTAAGTAATCAATCGGGCAGTCAATCAATCGGTCAGTAAGTCAGTCAGTCAATCAGTAAGTCAGATTCGGTCAGTTACTGTAGAAAACCCGTTGGTTAGTCAATCAGTCTCTGAGTCACTCAGTCAGTCAGTTAATGAGTCAGTTAATGAGTCAGTTAATGAGTCAGTTAATGAGTCAGCTAGGCTGTAAGTTTATCAGTCAATCAGAAATTCCGTCAATGAGTCAGGCACTGATTCGATTAATCATTCAATCATTCAATCATTCAATCATTCAGTCAGTCAGTCAGTTAATCATTCAATCATTCAACCATTCAATCATTCAATCATTCAATCATTCAATCATTCAATCATTCATTCATTCAATCATTCATTCATTCAATCATTCAATCATTCAATCATTCAATCATTCAATCATTCAATCATCCAATCATTCAATCATTCAATCATTCAATCATTCAATCATTCAATCATTCAATTATTCAATCATTCAATCATTCAATCACTCAGTCATTCAATCATTCAATCATGCAATCATGCAATCATGCAATCATTCAATCATTCAATCATTCCATCAGCCAACCATTCAATCATTCAATCATTCAATCATTGAATCAGTCAATCATTCAATAAGGTAATCAGTCAATCAGGCATCATTCAATCAGTCAATCAATCAATCATTCAATTAGCCAGTTAGCAAGTGCATCAGCCCGTCGTTCAGTCAGTCAAGGAGTAAGCCATTCCATCAACTCCTATTAGGACGTTATTATCGATTCGCCTCTAATGCGTAGGCTTATGCCAGCTATTTTAATGTTATTCATAGTGTGAGCATGTTCAGCTCATTTTAAATCAATACAGGGTATTAGCGGACCTTGAAGCATTTTGTTTGATCAAGGCTTGATGGAAATGCATTCGGCACTTGAATCAAACGAGGATTGCCAATAATATGGCCACTCTGGCCAATGAACAATAAAGAATACTCCTAAGCTCTTAAAGCTCATGAACCGACTGTGAATCGAATCCAAATGCAATGGGGCGATGTGGCTATGTGGCTGAGTGGGTAGGGGGTAGGGGCTAGGCGCTCAGGCCGAGTGCTGGGCGGTATATGGGAGTGCACTCAGAAACTTTTGCCATGTGCAACTGTTGGAAAGTAGTGTGTGTATAGAAAATTTGTACCAATGCTCCCATAAACTAAACTCACACAAAGTGCCAAGGCCCCCAAGCGACCGGCAAGCAGAAACAGTAAAAAAAATATCCCCGTGTTGGCAAACGGCTATGGAACACTCGGCCAAAAACTCAAAACTTGTCGCTGACGCACTTTATATACAATTTGTCGGAGTTCCAAGAACTGTTTGACATGAAGAGCGCAACTGATTTGATTCGCATAACCAAATCCGAATTTGTAAGTCTCAGCGATGCTTGTGGCTGACAACAATCAAGCAAACAGATTTGATCTTTAGACAAGTGTTGCACGAACTCATATAAGTATCGGCTGAATACGATTAGTGGCCATAATTCAATTGGTTTGGGCATGTCCCTTAGTATATTCTCAAACTATTAGAAACGCTTATGCTGAGTCATGAACAGCAGACGAGTTCTATTAGGCTGGCTAGCTTACTGGCCATCCATGTGACTGCCCCTCTGCCCATCTCTATTAAAAGGTTTATGTAACTGTTCGTCAGTCTGCCTATATGTCCGTCTGTCCGTCCGCCCGCTTGTACGTCCGTTCTTCCGTCCGTCGGTATGTTCGCCTATCCGCCCGTCCGTCCTTCCGTCCTTCCGTCAGCCTCCGTCTGTTCGTCCGCATTTCCATCCGTCTGTCCGCTTGCTTGTCCGTCCACCCATCTCTAATAAACTGGCGAGCTAACTGCCCATATGCATCGGTCTGTCCGTCCGTCTGGCTGTTTCTTGTTTTCGTCCGTCTGTCCGTTAACATAATCGATAACTCTGTCCATTGCCAACAAATCTATACATCCATATACTTTAATTATATTCAGATATATATCAAAAGTTCTAAGAGGTAAAGTAACCAACTTTGGTATCAAGAATCTATTATTTATTATTAATTTATTAATACATTTTATGCATAACTCTTTTAACTTCACCAACAACTGAATCAAAATCTCAGAGAGTATTTCCTAGTTGAGCTCCATTCGTACTTATTCTAAAGCTATCATAGTGACATATTGAGCTATAGCCACATATATATTCCATTTTCCGTACTATAATACTATACATTTAGCCTATATGCTATGGCTTAAAGGTTTATCCTGTGAGCTTTTCATGCAAACATCAATTTATCTCTCAGATCTCTGGCTCAAGCTCGCCCAGATAAACGGATTCCATCAAATTCATATTAGATTTTATTCTATTAAATGGATTTGATTGAATCCGATTTACTCTATGGTTATAAATATGATTTAGGGCGTTCTGCAAATTCAATGATAAATCTTTGTAACATCTCAGGCTGACAAGTTGAGTAGAGGAAATCAATTTTTCCATATACTCTCGGTAGGAGCGCATGAAAGGCGCTCTAATTTGTATGGCTTTGTTCGGCCAGAGAGGTTTACCAATTCGAAAATAGCAATAAAAAAGCACCCCAGTGGCACTTAGGGGGGATGCAGGCAGCACTTAAATGCTACATGGCAGAAACATAGTCGAATTTCTGTGCCGTTTCGCATTTATCTGCGAAAAACTTGCGCACGTTTGAGCTGCCAAAATGGCTTTCAAGAGTTTTTAATGCTCGACACAATAATTCATATAGAGTTCAAGGCTGGGACGCACCCAAAATGATTTGTGTGCCCAGAGAGATGTGGGGGAGGGGTGAGGGTTGGGATTGTTGCCTACTCACAGTATGTGTCCGTTGTCAGACGATCAATGGTGTCCTGCTTCAATTTGGAGTTCTTCTTGCCCATTGTGTTGCTGGTATTGGTGGTGTGTGTCGATGAGAGATGAGTGCGCCCGCAAAGCCAGTTGGGTCAGCAACGGGCAGCCTGTTAACGTTAACAGGTAATTGGACGGGGCGTGTCTTATCCCGATTTGCCAATGGTTAGATCTGAAAGAACAAGTGACGGAGAGATTAAAGATAGGCGTGCACATCAGCTGTGAGCCACAAGGCACATTGTCACGGCGGAACGCTATCCATCATGCACTAGCCACAGCCCTGCCATGCACCTGCCATGGCCAGAGAAACGCCACGGGCCCCCGAGCGTCAGCCGAGCTGATGAATAGCAAAAGCTACTTTGATATTTAAGCATGTCAGAGCCCGTTTTGTGTGCGTGTGTGTGTGTGTGTGTGTGTGTGTGTGTGTGTGTGTGTGTGTGTGTGGGTGTGTGCATAGCCAAAAACACGACGACGCTGACTACGTCAACAGCCAGGGACATCTCACAATACCAGCGAATGCCAAAAGGAGCTGGCGTCAGTCACTCATTCACTCAGTCAGTCACTTAGTCAACTTCTACTCTTCCGCAATGCTATTCATAATTTTGTAAACAGCCTGCTTTAAGCATTATACAAATATGCGATTCTCGTGGCAATTCTTTTAAGCACAAAATATCAGGGACATTTTGTAAGTTTCGCGCGTTTCTGTTCAGTTCTGATTCATTTAGCTGAACGTATAATTAATGAGTATCTAAGCGAAGGGCATCTGGCTGACGGCTAGCGAAAAGTTTGAATGTGCCTTGAGTTCTATTCGCCTCCTTTACCTTTGCGGTTTGGGCAACAAGGACAATGCCGACACTGCTGCTGCTGGTATGGATGACGACAAGTTTTGCAATCAAGTTATGTAATTAAAATGTAAATAATTTCCCAAGCAAATTTCGTGCGCAAACTTTTTTAATTCCTTGTTACAAATTTGGATAAGCCTTCAATTGACTTTAAATGAGCTGTTCCAACGATCTGCTTCTGTTTCACTCTCTCTCTCTCCATGGCCTTCTCTAGCTGCTTCTCTATGCCTTCCTCTTTATATCTTTCTCTCTCTGTCTCTCTGACTCAGCTTGTGTCTGTTTTATTATTTTTCTGCTCCTCTATCTCTTGCTCGATTTTTCTTTTAATCTCTATTGGTCTACTGTGTCCCTTAATCTCTTTCTCTCTCTCTCTCTCTCTCTCTCTCTGTCTCTCTTCTCATCCCTCTGCCCTCTCGCTCGCATTCTCTCACTTTGCATTACTCTTAGCCTCCTTCAACCTCTCTCTATCTCTTTATCTGTCCAGCTCTCTCTTAGTCTCTCTGTCTCTCTCTCTCTCTTTCTCTCCCTCTCTCTGTATGACTGTATGTGTCTCTCTCCCTCTACATCCCTCCAGCTCTCTACATCCCTCTAGCCGCTCTTCTCAGTACTCCCATCTCTCACTCTCATTGTCTTTTTCTCTGTATTACTTACTCTTCTTATATATACTTCTTACTCTATATATATATATATATATATATATATATATATATATATATATATATATATATCTACATATATATAGCACTTCATATGCACCATTATATTCTGACTGCCCTTCCAAGCGATTCTCATTACTGCAAGCAAAGCCAACAGGGTTTCAAGATTTATTCTTTATCTCTGGACAATTTAATATGGATAGTTAAATAGACATATAGAGTTATGAACTTTAGCAATTTAATACGAATCTTAATTATTTTGAAATGATTCAATGTCTGAAATATTTAGCTCTGAATATCGTAATTAAAATGTATACAAAATAATTTAGAGCTATTTGGAGTGCATGACTCTGGGGCTGTGTGCAACGATCATTAGAAATGCACGTTTAATGGCCGTGTGACCCTGGGCTACAGCCACGCCCACACCCACATCCACCCACACACACATATGTGTATATAAATAGAGATGTGCAGACATGTGGATGGGAAATATGTATTTAGTCAGCCTGGAAATAGGCGCTTGCTCGGGTAGGTAAACAGAAAGGACAAATGAAGCAGAGCCGAGGCGAGCCGAGGCAGCCAGCAGTGAACCAAGATGGACAGACAACGATGTCTGTGATGCAACTGCAATTGCAATGGCTAACGAGCTGGCCAAGCATCGTTCGAGCCACAGTGCTGACGGAAGTTGTTTGTGCCAGGCAAAGGCCCGGGCCGTCTGGCTGTGTCGTTGTAGGAAATTGAAAAGGAAAGAAAATTGAGCATACTTTAAGACCTCGGGCAACACAATTCCGAATTGCAGGTGCAGGACTCTCAATTGGCCCGACTCTCCCCTATCACGGAGGCGGTCGACATTACGCGATTTCCCGTCAGCTTTAAATGTATTTGAACTTTTGCCGCTACGTGCGTCAAAATTACACAGAATTGCCGTTGGCGTCGACATTTAATTGAATAATTGCCAAACGACTTGTAAACAAGTTAGAAGACGGGCCCAGAGAACTTTGCCCAACGAGTTCGTATGCCAATTTGTTTTGGCCAGAGCAGCCGAAAGCACAAGCATTGGCGACTGGCCCAAGCAGCGCTGACGTGGTTACCTACACACACACACACACACACCGCACACACACACACACTCTCTAGAGTCAACCTGCCTTAGGAGGCATCGCAGCTAAGCAAATAACTTGAATGCCAACAGCCAGCGAGACAAAATCTTTGCAATCGGCCAACTATGCGGAATTCACACAATTCACAGCCTCTGAAATGTTACAGACTTTGTATAATTAAATCAAATGGCGCGTATGAGAAGATATACGAAACTAAATTAAGTAAATTAAGCTAATTAATGGGCACGACTCAGCCGTAAGGGACTTCATTAGGCAATTGAAACTTCTCTTAAATAGGCTTAGACATACTGGGGAAAATCTAGTAATTATATATTTTGAGCAGGACAACAAATAACGGCAAATAACGGTATATATATTGTGAAGGGAGTGCAGAGAGCTCTTTAGGAAGAAGACAGATCTTTAGGTAAGTCAATAGAGGAGGTCAACGGAAACTTAGTTTTTAGCACTGAACATATGGGAGATGCTATATCGATATATCTGATATATAAGCTAAATATAATATATATATAGTATATATCTAATCTATATCTATTATATATTTACTACATATTTACTATATATTTCATATTGATGTGCATTATGCTTCAGATCTTAAGTTGCTTCAAACTGCAAGTCTCTAGCACCTACCATAATAGAGCCTACAACAGCTATAGTATTTGCTGATTGGCCACGCCCCTAGCGAACATATCGGGGAGATTTCAAGACTTAATAAGACTAGGGAATATGTTCCTAGCTTCAATGTCTGCGAAATGGCTTGCATGCCAGACGGACGGAGGCACGGACGGAGAAATGAAGGCACATCAAAAAGGAGATTGCGCAAAACCGATATACCCTATCTGGAAACAGTTGCCAAGCCTTAAGATACTCAGCAGTTTTTAATTAGCAAACGATGTTTGAATGGCTGAGCAAAGGAAATCTAAGATAAATTCCGATGAATAGACGAAAAGACGGAGCTGATCAACTCGACTGTTTATGCTGATATATATATACACATATATATATATATATATATATATATATATATATATATATATATATATATATATATATATATTCTTCTGTCTGTGTGCATTCGGAGTTGCCACTATCAATGAGTTTTCAACAGGCATTGGCTTAAAGCTCTTTCCCTTTGCCACAGCCCGTCCGCTCTAAGACGTTCATTGGAATTTCGCAGCGGTAAACTATTCTCGCATGGCACATGTTTGCCCGCTCTACAGCCCAACTAATTGCCATACTCAGGCAGCGAGCTGCCACGCCCCCCGACGTCGCTAATTTAGGTGCATTTTATGTGTGTTTTTTTTCGGGTCTGCCAAAAGGTCGTGGGTGCCGTTGGGACTTAGCCAAATGGTATGCAAAAGGCAAAGGCCGCATACAGCTGGCTTTTTGTGCAATTTCTTTTTGAGCTGTGATTGCAGTCTTCAGGGTCTTTTTTTGCTTTTTGCTAATCTTTTCTTTGAGTTTTTCAATTTCTTGTTGAGAAATGTCTTGAAATGCAAATTGCAAATTCCTGACAACATCTGTCTGTCATTCAATGTGTGTGTGTGCGTGTGTGTGTGTGCGTGTGCTTTAGCTAAGATTGATTGTTGTTGTTGAACAAGAAGTACATCGCATATAATTTTGTGGCTGCAAGACTCTGCATAACTAACTCGCCCATAGAAATTATTAGTACCGAAAATAAAGTCCAGCTAATAGTCTTTCGGCTGCGACAGCAAAAACTTTGCACTGTTGTTCAAAGTTCAAACATTCCAAGTGAATTCCCAACCACACACACATGCCCATAGATAAATCCACAAAAGCATTTACCCAACACACCCTGCCGTCCCCAAACAGCCCGAAAATGTTTCAACACATGTGTTTGGCTATTAACTTGCGCTTTAAATTATGCAAAATCCCAAACAACAGCAACTCGGATGAGAAGCAACGCCAACTCCAGCGACTGGCAGCAACTGCTAGATACAAGTTTTTGCCATCATCTATATACACACACACACACAGATACATATAGACATACATATGCATATACATATATACACATATGTATGGCCAAGTTTTATATGGCAGTGGGCGCTGGGAGTGGCGGCGCGAATGAGAGCAGCGCGATGCTGCCGAGCAACGTGCAGCAGCAACATTTACATAACCTCTTTCATTCTGATTTGATTATATTCATTCAATTTCGTAAGCCACGCGACCATCGACCATCTACAACAACGACAAAGCGCAACAGCAGCAAAGGCAAAGCGTAAAGAGCAAAAGGACCAAAGGCAGCATCGCACCTTTTGCTTTGAGAACGCAAACTAAGTAAAAACAAAAAAAAAAGAAAAGAAGAAAAACTGAATATTTGAACAGACAACTGTGTAGGTGTAGCTGTAGGTGTGCGTGTGTGTGTGTGTGTGTGCGGGTGTGACTGTTACCCTTTATGGCTTGCCTGGGCAGTCCATTAGGCTGTCTCTTTACACAACTTAAGCAGCATTTGCCCAGCTCACAACTATCTGTCTCTATCTAACAGCCAAACACTTTGCACTCCCTGGCACCCACTCGCCAACTCCCCAGCGC